CCACAGGGTCAGTTCACTCATCCTACTGATGCCCGCATACTCTTACGCTATATATGTTTGGTGTGTTTTCTTGATTCTTCACGCCTCGTTTTCACCCGTTTAATGTACCCCCCTCTCCTCCCTCCTCTCCGCCTTCTTCCCCTTTCACGTCTTCCCCTTCCTCACCCACCCTCCCTCCCACCCTTCCTCTCACCCTCCCTCGAAGCAGCCACAAGAGGGAGGCGCGCAGCTACTCGGAGATCGCTCTTACTCTGGGCGCGGACTCCCCTTCACACATCACCTTCTGTACCGACATTCTAGAGGAGGCTCAGGCCGCCAAGCAAGCAGGTGGGTGATGATAGGCAAGGGGGCAGGGGAAGGCATGCATGTAAGCAGGTCACATGAAGAGGCGCGCAGCTAAAAGAGGGAGGCGCACGGCTACTCAGAGATTGCCCTACTGGGTGCTGACTCTCCTTTCACACATCACCGTCTGTACCTACATTCTAGAGGAGGCTCTGGCCGCCAAGCAAGCAGGTGAGCCGCAATCCTGTGTCCCCACGTGCTGGTCAGCAACATTAGGCAGGTAGCTGTGCCGTGGCTCTCATGACCAGTGGACATCACCCATGCACGCCCCCTCACTTCACACATCACCTTCTGCACCGACATCCTGGAGGAGGCACAGGCCGCCAAGCAAGCAGATGAGCAGGATGGGCAAGCAGGCAGGCAGGCTAATACCAGGCATGCAATTGGGCCGTGCCTCTTTCTTAGCAGTGCCCCTGTGATCTCCACGTCACACATCACCTTTTGCACCGACATCCTATAGGAGGCACAGGCATCCAAGCAAGCAGGTGAGCAGGATGGGCGTGTATGCATGCAGGTGAATAGCAGGCAGGCAATTGTGCCGTGTGATGTGACTTGTTACCACTGGTCTCACCGTCACACATCACCTTTTTGCATCGACATCCTGTAGGAGGCACAGGCTGTCAAGCAAGCAGGTAGTGCAGGGATGACCATGCAAGCAGGCAGGTTAAAACCAGGTGTGCAATTGGGCCGTGTCTCTCCTTAGCAGTTCTCCCATGATACACTGGTACCCTACGTGGACGTAGGCAAGACAGAATTCAAACTTATCCATGCATTTACAAATCCCTTTTTTACAAACCTCTCTTTTTACTCCCTGTCTGCTGTCCACCTACCCTACCCTATCCCAACCACCCACAGGTCTGCAAGCTGTGCTGCTCTCTCGCCCAGGCAATGGCGCCCTGCCTGCTGACCCTGGCTTCCCTGTGCTCACCTCACTCACCGACCTCTAGAACGTGCTTCCATTTTCACGACTGTGCTGCCTTTGACAACAGCTTGTCCACACCTTTTTTGAAATGAACGACAACCGTTAAGAAATATAGTTTTAAAGTGGCTTTTCATTCATACAGCTTCTTCACTTGGCCTTAGGAAGGATCGAGACTCGAGTTGAGTTGCGTATGTTGTGAGCTTCCAAAAGCACGAGAGCACGACTAAAGATGCTCAAGCGATGTCTCTAGCTTGCAATTTATCTGCATTGGTTCCTCGTATTCAGTTGCTTCTAGTGTACATGGTATTCATTTGAAAATGTAGAACAGAATGTGGGCTGCTGGACAAATAATGCAATTAGAATATATACTTCAGTACATTACTCGGATCAAGCCCGATCGTCCGATTACAAACGCGGACAGATGACCATCAGGATTGACGATGCCACGTGAACTATCAACCACGGAACATTCAGATGATCAAATTGAGCTTTCAAATGCAAACTACCGATTAAAGCCGGAAGCCCAAATTGCACAAGTTTTAAAAGGATGACGCGAGGGGTTTTTTCTGGGTTGGGTTTTGGCGAGTGATTTCGATTTCGGGCATTTCGTTTTTTTCGCCAAACCCAGCCAGCCCACGTATTTCGCCCTGGCGGTTGTGTCAGCACCCGAAAGTCCCAAATTGCAGGTGCGCTACTTTTCAAAGCTTGCACACTGCACTTCGTCAAGTTTTAAAAGCATGACCCACGCGCCTCGCAATTTGGGACTCGGGCTTTAAACTGTAGCAGATTCTGTCAAATTCTGTCAGGTTCAATATCTAATTCGCAGCCTGGGTCCTGACAAGTAGCAGTTGCTTCTCACGCTTCGTCTGGCGGCGATTTGGGTGAACCATGGACGGTCGAGATTCTCCTGACAGCGATCCGCTCTACTCGTTACTAGCGACTGACCGTGCTTCACGGGTGCCTGCATCTTCTGACATCCTCTGCTTGCTGACCCCTAAGCTGACCCCTTCCCGCCGCCTATTGACAAGGAATATGAGCAGTGAAGAACCTTTCTGGCACCTCCGTCCCGATCTTTCCCCTGGCGTTACAGCGGGAATGACACCTTTCGAACCAAACCGACCCACCTTTTCCGACGGCCCTCGTCCCACTACCCTTCGGCCTTCGTCCCGTTTCGCTTCACGGCGCATGCGCAGCGAAACGGGACGATCCCAAGGGAGGACTGTCGCTGGAATAGCAGGCAGAGCAGATGATCGCTGCTACTACCACTCGCCGCGATTCGGGAATCACATTTTAAGAGTCTCCAGAATTGGTCTTTGCTACTGCTCGATGCGTTCGGGTTCGTTCGGATGCCTATTAGTATATACAGCGGAACTCCGCACCGCGCCAGCATACTCCATCCCACCGGAATTCAACCAGTTTTACCAGGCGCTCGTTCCTGCTGACCAATCCCTGCTCACTCGTGGGTGGCCTAAATAATTCCATCAGTCAATCGTTCAAGCTCACCATTCGCTCGTCACGAAACCCTTATTTGAAAACGTCCATTCTCCGCTTCTCCGCCTCCCCATTCCGTATTCTCCCGAGAGGAAGCCTGAGAAAGAGACTCTCGGATCTCGGGCCTCAGTATATCGGATACTTTTTCCTCCTGCCTAGGTGGTTCAGCAGGATGGTTGCTGCGTTAAGCCTTCAGCCGGAGAATGCTACACAGAGGCTGAGGCTCCGCATTCATAGCGATTCAACGCTCTACTTCAGCGTGCTTCTGCTGGGCCTCCTGTGGATCACGAGTCTCCTCTCATGCCGAGTCGGAGCAGTAGGAGTTTCTGGTGCTTGGCGAAGAAACCTGGCTGGACTGGCGAACAGAGGCGAATCGAGCTGGAGCAGGTGGTTACCAGGGGGTACGCTTGTAGAGTCAAGGGGAAGAACGAGAGACGAAGGGGTGAATGAGGAAGAGGCGAGGGAGGAAGGGGTAGCGGCAAGATGGGAAGGGATAGAAGCGAAAGGGGAAGACGTAACGGCGAGGTTAGAGCGAGTAGGTCAGAAGTGGAGCAAGAGAGGCGGGGTGAGGAGGAGACGGGTGCTAGAGGCATCATCAAGCGTAACGTGTGGGGAGGGCGGAAAGACAGGCATGGGTGGAGGGACTGCGAGGGGCGAGAGGAGGGTGATAGAGGCGTGGAGGCCCGTCAAGGGGCGGTACCTGCTGGCACTCTGCACCTACGGCCGCCTCTCCAATCAGGTGAGACTTCTGCGACCCTGTAACCTGGTGGATTGATCTCACCAAGCACATGTCATGACAACACACGTACCTCCCTTCACCTCCTCACCTCCTCCCCTCTCCCTCTCTCCCGTCTCTCCCCACCAGGAGGCGTGCATGCACATGTATCTGGCCCTGGCAGCCCTCCTTAAAGCGACGGGCAACTTTTGGCAGTGTTGGGTTCAGAAGTTTTTTTTTTGAACCAGGCTTGCCAGCGCGAAAGTGCTGGCTGGCGAAAACCAGGATTTCGTGCGGACACTTTCCATCCGCAGTAACAGTTCGCCAGGGTTCTGGGTTTTGGGTGGCAAATGTGCACCACTAACACCAACGCACGACTGGACTCACACACACTTCCTCACACCATACGAAACCTTGCTAATTTCTGCCAAGACCAGACTTTCAAGTCACTGTGACGCTGCTAGCTACCGCGTTTCCTTGCCACATCGAGGAACGTTGATAAACACTCATTCGCGTATTATCAAGCTCACCCTTGCGAAACGAAAGCTCCTTCAAGAGCTGCAAGATCCTCAGCTGATAAATATCGCTGGAGCTTTATCGCCACCACCTTTCAAGATAGAGAGTCCTCGAAGCCATTCAAGTGCTTCACGAAACGCGGGTTTATTCGCGCACGACACGGAGCAATAACAGACGCCTTCGGCGACTTTCGCCTATCGTTGTTACAGGATGGATGCGATTTCCGGCGAAGCGTGTTCGACGAGGACGAGGGTCAAAACGCGGCCTGCCAGACATTACATCGCGCGATGGACGCCCGAGGTAAGCTTCTTCTTGGAAGCTCCTCCTTGGACTCCCGACCACAATGCTCGAGCATCGCTCCTGCATTTTGGCTCGCATTCAATTGGAACATCAGGCGATTACGTTCGATGTTCACCCGGAGTCGGATAGCAAAGCCTCCACCCGGAGTCCAGTCATTTTAGCGCAGCTTTGCACGAAAAAACGCTACTCTGGCTTGCATTTTCCGATCCCTTATGTCTTACGACTCAGGATACTTGCATGGTCTTAAACCCGTCGTTAGTAAATCCTCTCGTCCCGTCAACACTTGTCTCATATGTTCCGATGCCGTCTTGTCTCATCTCGTAATTTCTTGTCTCGGCTCGGCTCGGCGCGCAGGAAGACGCGATTCTATTGGAGCACGTGATGCTGCACGGCACGAGCCAATGGGGCCTGCTTCAGCGCAGCAACCGCCTGCCTCTGCGCGACAACAAGGCGTGCTGCAACCGCTTCATCCTCCTCAAAAAGTGCGTCGCGTACCACTTACATATTCATATTTTTACGTGCATTACTCATTTTCGAAATTCGCGTCGAATATGCTTGTGGGTTGTGGATCCTCCTCTCATCGACTCTCCCACCCCGCCGTTGCCTCCGCGCCTTGTCCTCTCATCGACGCCTCTCATCGGCGCCTTGTCTTCTCCTCGCAGGAAATTTATCGAGCAAGACGGTTCACCCTCAGCGGCCGGCGGTGTGTTCCCTATGGGTTCTGATCCCGTCAGCTCGTCACCTCCTAGCGGCGCGCTTTCGTTGCCGCCACTGGCGCTGTCTCCGCCGGTTGGCGAGCCGCACCATTGGAGCGCCACGGCGGCTTCCGCGCTGCATTCCGTTCCGAGGTACCACTCGCTTGGCAGAGGTAACCAGCAGCACTCGCCTGGGAGCAGTGATCATCCGTCGCGCGGGATCTATCAGCAACGTCGCTTTAAAACCCGCAGCCTGAATTACAAGAAAAGTTGGGAGGTGTTAACACTTTCCCTCCCGAACCAGTGTGGTTACCAGGTTTTCACCTGCAAAACGTGAAAGAAGTCGCAGGCAGCGCAGGGAAGGGTCGCTCGGTTCCTGGGCTGAGGTGTGCACACCAAACTGGAAATATGTAATTCAGGTCGTTCGAAACTGCCTAGTCTGAGCAGCTAGAGCGACAGCCATAGCATAGAACATCTAGCATTCTACCCCATTCCAGCGCATGGCGGAAAATTCCTCCTTAGGACGTTAGGACCATGCCTTCATTCTTCCAATCCGTCTCTAAAGCGCCCCGCGGTTCTAGGTCACGTTTCCACTCGACATAGCTAGCCGGGGCCATGGTTGCACATATGCCCGTCGTCGCCCTGGTTTCACTTCCACACCGCCCACCGCACCAATGTCGCCTATCTTCATAGCCGCGACGTCCTCTCTATCCGCCGCGTAGGTTTCATCCACCTGCTTCGCCGCATCGCTTCTTCTCCCCGACGTCCACACTCGGACCCCTTCCGGAACACACACGCGATCCCCTCCATCCCTCACGCTTCTTCCCTCGAACGAGCACGCTCCCTTCCCTCCCATCTCCTTCACGCAAAACCCTCTGTTGCGCACGCGAACATCCCTCCGTCGCGGATGATAACGCCTTCCCGTCGCACACAGGCACTCCCCTCGAACGGTCACGCACACTCCCTTTCGTCGCCGGCGCGCACTCCCTTCCGTCGCCCACGCTCAAGCCCTTCCCGTCGCCCACGCTCACTCCCTTCCCATCGCGATCGCGGGGGGAAATCGTACCGTCGCCCACGATCATTCACTTCCGTCGCCCACGCTCACCCCCATTCCATCGCCTTCGCGCAATCCTTCGGTCGCACACGCTCACCCCCGCTCGTCGCCACGGCCTATTCCTTCCCGCATCTCCGCCTCACCCCGTCTCCTCCTCACCCCAGCTCCGTCCGCGCGCACCGCGCGACAACTCCCCTTCCGCCGCCCACGCTCTCTCCCTCCCGCCACGTTCTCTCGCTTCCCTCCTGTCGCGACAGTCCCCTCCGTCGCCCACGCTCACTCCTCCCCACCACGCACGCTCTCCCCCCATCCATCGCCCACGCTCACTGCCCGTACTCCGCACACGCTCACTTCCCTCCGTCGCCTATGCTCCATCCCCATCCCTTCCCTCCCCATCCCTCATCTCCCCATCCCTTCCCTCCCTATCCCTCATCTCCCCATCCCTTCCCTCCCCATCCCTCATCTCCCCATCCCGTCCCTCCCCATCCCTCACCTCCCCATCCCCGCCTCCCCATCCCTTCCCTCTCCATCCCTTCCCTCCCCATCCCTCACCTCCCAGTCTCTCAACTTACCGTCCCTCTTCTCCCCATCCCTCTTCTCCCCATCCCTCTTCTCCCCATCCCTCTTCTCCCCATCCCTTCCCTCTCCATCCCTCACCTCACCATTCCGTTTCAACCCATTCCGCCCCACCCCATTCCGCCCCACCCCATTCCGCCCCACCCCATTCCGCCCCACCCCATTCCGCCCCATCCCATTCCGCCTCACCCCATTCCGCCCCACCCCAATCCGCCCCACCCCATTCCGCCCCACCCCATTCCGCCCCATCCCATTCCGCCTCACCCCATTCCGCCCCACCCCAATCCGCCCCACCCCAATCCGCCCCACCCCATTCCGCCCCACCCCATTCCGCCCCACCCCCATCTCCTCCTCACCCCATCTCCTCCTCACCCCTCATCCGTTGTGCTTTTCAGCACTAAGAAGCTTTTTGGGGAGGGGAGATGCGGTTCCACCCCACCCCACTCCGCTCTCCCCCATCTCCGCCCCATCCCACTACGCTCTCCCCCATCTCCGCCCCACCCCACTACGCTCTCCCATCTCCCCCCCCCATCTCCGCCCCACCCCACTACGCTCTCCCCCATCTCCGCCCCACCCCACTACGCTCTCCCCCATCTCCGCCCCACCCCACTCCGCTCTCCCCCATCTCCGCCCCACCCCACTCCGCTCTCCCCCATCTTCGCCCACCCCACTCCGCCCTGGCCCACTCCGCCCCACCCCATCTCAAGGTCACCCCATTCCGCCCCACCCTTCAAAATCACCCCATTCCGCCCCACCCATCTCTGCCCCACCCATCTCCACCCCAACCCATCTCTGCCTCTCGTTTGTCTCCTACCATAATAATAATCCGTGAGTGTCTCTTTATTTCTTCCTCTTCGCAGGTGCCGGTTTGTCAGTGTCAGTGCCCACCCTTTTGTATGCGTTCTGCTTCAGCCACGAGCATCTGATTTTCACAACTGGGTTTGTACAGGTCCCCCCCCCCCCCCCCCCCCCCCCCTATGCATTTGGTTCAGGAATGTTGGTTGTTGGTAGTACTACTACTAGGTATGACAAATAGACATGCCAATGTTGGATATTTAGTATTATATACTAAATTTTGATCCACAGAGGTATGAGACTGTAGACCACTTACAATGTGCATCAATCTAGTAAAAAAGAACAAGCTAGTCCATGTGATGTCTTGTCCAACTCTTGTCTGCACATACAGCATCAAAAAACCAGGACTTGTGGTTCCCTCCCAACAGCTGGTGCTGGGCACCGACACACTGCATGGGTAAAGGGTTGAATAGGGGAGTGAGCAGGAAAGAACAGAATGAGCAGGGAAAAACAGAGTGCAGGGGAGACAGTGAGCAGAGGTAAAATAATTGAGCAGGGGGAAAGAGAGAGAACATGTTGAAAGGGAGTGAGCAGGTGGGAAGATAGTGAGCAGGGAGAAACATAGTGAGCAAGGGGAAGAGAGCGAGCAGGGGAAAACAGAACGAGCAGCAAGGGGAAGAGAATGAGCAGTGGAGGAAGAGAGTGAGCAGGGGGGAATAGAAAAAACAGGGGGGAAGAGAGGAAACAGAGCGAGCAAGGGGGAAACAGAGTGAGGAGCGGGAAGGGAGCGAGCAGGGAGAAACATAGTGAGAGCAGCCCTGTCCGTGCTGCACTCGCCGAACAGCGCCACCACGCTGGCCGCTGCCTGGCGTGCGCTGATGGCATGCGCCTTGCGCACGTCGAGGGTGTGAGAGAGGCGAGGAGTGTGAGAGAGGCGAGGAGTGTGAGAGAGGCGGGGAGTGTGAGAGAGGCGAGGAGGAGTGTGAGAGAGGCGAGGAGTGTGAGAGAGGCGGGGAGTGTGAGAGAGGCGAGGAGTGTGAGAGTGGCGAGGAGTGTGAGAGAGGCGAGGAGTGTGAGAGAGGCGAGGAGTGTGAGAGAGGCGAGGAGTGGCGGAGGAGGATTGGGTTAGAAGGGGAGGAATTGCAGGGAAGGCGTGAGAAAAAATACCATGGAAGTTCAAAGGTAGGGAAAGGGAAATGAAGTTGTTCGAGGGGAAAAGAGGCGATGAGGGTTGATAGTGGGAATGGAAAGCAGGGGCTTATGAGGAAGGGTGCGTGGGGAGGCGTGGCGAGTGTGAGAGGGCGGGCGGACGTCGTGATGAGGCCCGCAGGCGAGCGCGGAGTGAGCAAGGGGATGAGGGTGGGCATGGGGAAAGGGAGTGAACAGGGGGGAACACCACGAACTGGGGGGAAGAGGGTGAGCAGGGGGAAACAGAATGAGCAAGGGGGAAACAGAATGAGCAAGGGGGAAACAGAATGAGCAAGGGGGAAGAGAGTGATCAGGGGGGGGGGAGGGAGTGAACAGGGGGGAACAGAGTGAAGGGAGGAAGGGGAGTAATTGTTTCGCATGAGTGTACGTGGGTGAGAGTGAAGCTTTGGGTGGGGAAAAAAAGAGGTGGTAAACCAGGGCACTGGGAAGGGTAGAGAAGGCGGCGGGGCGGGAAACCAGGGCGTCGGCGCGAGGGAGGGGAATGGGCATGGGCGACGGAGGAAGGAAGCGAGGGCGAAGAAGAGGGGACGCTCGACGAAGACGTCAGCGGCGGGAATGAGAACAATGTTGACGCAGCGACAGGTGGGAGAGGAGAGGTCGACTCGGCGAGCGATGGGGAGGGAAAACGAGGGCGACGGGAGGGGGAAAGCGAGGGCGACGGGAGGGGGAAAGCGAGGCCGACGGAAGGGGGAAAGCGAGGTCGACGGGAGGGGGAAAGCGAGGTGGACGGGAGGGGGAAAGCGAGGTCGACGGGAGGGGGAAAGCGAGGTCGACGGGAGGGGGAGGCGGCGATGGCGACCCGCGAGGCGAGGGTGGTAGGCGGGGAAGATGCGGTACGCGACGGGCGGGGGAAGCGAGGGCGGCGGGTATGGGAAGCGAGGGCAACGGGAGGGGAGAAGCGAGGGCGGGCGGAGGAAGCAAAGGCGACGGGCAGGGAGGAGGCGAGGCGACGGGCGGGGAGGAGGTGGTGCGCGGGAAGAGCGAGGGCGACGGGCGGGGGAAGCGAGGTGGGCAAATCGCTAATATCTCCCGTGCCATCTCGTTTCTACGTGCGTCACACTCGCAGCCAGCGCCTACGATTCACTTCGATTGCATGACCGCGCTTCATCTTCTTTTCCGTCGTCCCTAAATTGTGTTCACTTGATATGCCTGGCTGGTGAGCGCGATGCTTGGATCCTAAAAAGCTTGTCTGAGTTGTTCGCTTGTTCTGTCGCACAGGTTTTTACCCTGCTCTAGCTCTCTGGGGTTGTAAGCAGAATGTATGCGAACTGTTGGGTTGCGTTGGCTGATAACGCCTCGTTGACTCACGGGAGAGTCGCATCATGTTTCGCTAACTTTTTTGCTTTCGCAATTCTGCCGCACCTCATATTGCCCGAACCCCAAACCTACCAAACCAAGCGTTGACTCAGTTTTTGTAATTCAGGCTTCGGGTTTTAACCGCACGCTTATCATCCCACGCCACGGCTTCGCCATCTCCGTGGTGGCGGAGTATCGCTCCTGCCTCATGCCACAGTACCCATCTCCTCCCCATTCCCACCACCAGGAAGCGTGCATGCACATGTACCTGGCCCTGGCGGCGCTTCTCATCATCCCACGGCATGGCTTCGCCATCTCAGTGGTGGCGGAGCAGAGTACCGATGGGGCCATTGTGAACGCCCTAATACATCCCTCCCTTCGACCTCCCTCTCCCCCTCCTTCCCTTCCCCCCACCCCCCTTCCTCCCACTCACCCCAACCACCAGGAAGCGTGCATGCACATGTACCTGGCCCTGGCAGCCCTATTGAACCGCACGCTCATCATCCCACGGCACGGCTTTGCCGTGTCAGTGGTGGCGGAGTATCGCTGGCAGTGGGGCGTCATTGTGAGCGTCCCTCACATGCGCTCCTGCCTCATGCCTCACTACCCTTCACCCCTTCCTGCTGCTTCTGCTGGGTCTCCTGGATCTGCTGCTGGGGCTGCTGCTGCTGCTGCTGCTGCTGCTGCTGGCTCTGCTACTGCTGCTGTCGGTGGTGTTACCTCTGGCAACAGCAGTGGCAGTGATAGTAGTGAATGGATTTGGCGGGCAGCCAATGGGGAGGTGCCAAGTGTGATCAGCCAGGACGAGTACGAGGCACTGGAGGGGCGCAATCTGACTGTGGACCGGATAGCGTGTGTTGTGCCACACACGTGCCTCTCCCACCCGCAGATGGTGAGTGTGCGTGTGCGTGCGTGTGTGTGTGTGTGTGTGTGTGTGTGTGTGTGTGTGTGTGTGTGTGTGTGTGTGTGTGTGTGTGTGTGTGTGCCCGTCAGTCAGCAACAGTACGTGTCCATGCATTACCCACGTGGCGTTGGAGGGGCGTAACCTGACTGTCGACCGGATCGCATGTGCTGTGCCGCACAAACAGCCTCTCCCACCCGCAGATGGTTAGTGTGGCTGTGTGTGTGTATGTGTGTCAGCCTGAGTGTGTTTCTCCCACCCGCACACGCTGAGTGTGCCTCTGCTGCCAGCAGATGCACCCGTCTTTCCCCTATCCCTTTCCCGCTTCCCATGCTCCATTCCTCGTACTCCCTCTCCCTCCACCCTCCCCGTTCCCCCCAACCAGGTGTTCAAGGCCCTGCCACACATATCCTTCGCCTCGCACCTGGAGTACCCCCCTCTCCAGTCCCACCACCGCGAGCTATTGCATGTGCTCACACGCACTACCGCCACTTTTCAATCCCAACCGCAACTCATTCCTTCCTCCCATCCCTTCTCGCCTCCCCATGTGTTCAAGGCCCTACCAGACAGTACCTTTGCCTCGCACCTGGAGTACCCCCCTCTGCATTCCCACCACCTCGATGGCCTCCAGCACGTGCATGCAAACACAGACGCCACTCATCCAACTCATTCCTTCCTCCCCCCTTTTATTGGCCCCTCATGTCCCCCGCTCCCCAACCAGGTATTTAAGGCCCTACCAGACATTACCTTTGCCTCGCACCTGGAGTACCCACCTCTGCACTCCCACCACCTCGACGAGCTCCTGCACGTGCTCTCCAGCACCCATGCCACAGGCGAGGTGGTTTCTGAGTCAACCCAAGAGGCACAGCAGCAAGGCATGCAAGAGCCAGCAGCTGCGTTCGCCCTTGCCTCTTCCGCTTCACATCCCACTGCTTCGGTTCTCCAACCACCCGGCATGGCTGGGAACCACAGCAGCAACGCCGCCCTCTCAACTTCCTCCTCCTCCTCCTCCTCCTCCTCCTCCTCCTCCTCCTCCTCCTCCTCCTCCTCCTCCTCCTCCTCCTCTTCCTCCTCCTCCTCCTCCTCCTCCTCCTCCTCCTCCTCCTCCTCCTCCTCCTCCTCCTCCTCCTCCTCTCCCTCCCCTCCCTCCTACTCGCCTTCTTCGCCCTCCACCGCTCTCCCCTACGCCGCCACGCCAGTGCTCTCTCTAGGCGATCTCAACGGGCTCACCCTCTCCTCTCTGCCCTTTGACATGTTCTCCCCGCACCCGCCCTTCCGCCTCTCCTGTGTGGACCTCTGGCTGCCTCCTCCCCCAGTTGAGGGGTTTGTTACTGGATTCATTGACACGTTTCTGGGGGGCGACTATGCGGCCGTGCACCTGAGGAGGTAAGGAATACACTCCTACTCCTCTTTCTCACTCCCCTCTCCCTTATGCCTCTCCCTCATCTCTCTCTAGGCGATCTCAACGGGCTCACCCTCTCGGCTCTGCCCTTTGACATGTTCTCCCCGCACCCGCCTCTCCTGGGTTCGTTACGGGCTTCATTGGCACGTTCCTAGGAGGGGACTACGCGGCCGTGCATCTGAGGAGGTAAGCATTGCGCTCCCTCACTCCTCTCCCTCACTCCTCTCCCTCAACCCCATCCCCCTTCCGCCTCTCCTGTGTCACCGGCTTCATTGACACGTTTCTACAAGGGGACTATGCGGCCGTGCACCTGAGGAGGTGAGCATTGCGCTCCCTCCCTCATTTTCCTCAGGTGAGCTATGTGCACTGCCACTAGGGAATGGAATCAGGTGAGCTATGTGCACTGCCACTAGGGAATGGAATCAGGTGAGCTATGTGCACTGCCACTAGGGAATGGAATCAGGTGAGCTATGTGCACTGCCACTAGGGAATGGAATCAGCTCGTTGAGAATTTAATCCGTTGCAGCGCCCTCTCGCTGCATGATTCTTGCTCTCTAAGCAGGATGGAAATGTTCAGCTGTGCACCTGATTTCTTCACCGCTTCCCCCTCTGCTGCACATTTGACTCGTTTTCGCGATCATGATGCGCACCAGACCACGAGGCTAGAGCCATCAAGTCTTCTCCTCATAGGGGCTGGTGGTGGTAAGAGGAGACACTCACCCCCCCTTTCCCCATTCTCCTTGCTCCTGCAGATCTGATTTCTCCCGGGTGTACCACCGCGCGCACCAGACCTAGAGGCTAGAGCCATCAAGTCTTCTCCTCATAGGGGCCGATGGTTCTAAGAGGAGACGACTTTTGAGGCGTTTCAAAGGCCGATGGTTGTAAGAGGAGAGACTCACCCCCCCTTTTCCCATTCCCATTGCTCCTGCAGGTCCGACTTCTCCCGGGTGTACCACCATACTCACCAGACCAAGAGCCATCCTGCCTTCCTGCCCATCGTGGCAGTGGGGCGATTCATCATGAGGCGCCTGGCCAATCGCAGCGTGACAGCTGTCTACCTCGCCACTGACGCCAGCCAGTACGAGGTGGAGCTGCTGGAGAGGCTCCTCATGGGTGAGCCTTTGTCTGCTGCTGTTGAGAGGTTCTTGAGAGGTTTTTGAGAGGATTTTGAGTCCTTTGAGGGGCTTGTGTTTGCCAGCCAGTACGAAATGGAGCTCCTGGAGAGGCTCGTCATGGGTGAGTCTTTGTCTGCTGCTACTGCCTCCCTCCATATTTCCCTCTCTTATTGAGTTTGCCAGCAAGACTTTTGAGAAGCTTCTGAGAGGCTTCTGTCTGCCAGCCAGTATGAAGTGGAGCTCCTGGAGAGGCTTCTCATGGGTGAGCCTCCCGCCTGCTTGCCCCACTCCCGACTCCCCACTCCCCAATTCCCACTCCCTCACCCCCTCCCTCCCTCCACCCTTCTCCCTATCAGTTCTGCCGAAGGGGCTTCTGTCTGCCAGCCACTACGAGGTGCAGCTGCTGGAGAGGCTTCTCATGGGTGAGTTGCTGCTGCTGGAGAGGCTTCTCATGGGTGAGTTGCTGCTGCTGGAGAGGCTTCTCATGGGTGAGTTGCTGCTGCTGGAGAGGCTTCTCATGGGTGAGTTGCTGCTGCTGGAGAGGCTTCTCATGGGTGAGTTGCTGCTGCTGGAGAGGCTTCTCATGGGTGAGGTGCTGCTGCTGGAGAGGCTTCTCATGGGTGAGTTGCTGCTGCTGGAGAGGCTTCTCCTGGGTGAGTTGCTGCTGCTGGAGAGGCTTCTCATGGGTGAGTTGCTGCTGCTGGAGAGGCTTCTCATGGGTGAGTTGCTGCTGCTGGAGAGGCTTCTCATGGGTGAGGTGCTGCTGCTGGAGAGGCTTCTCATGGGCGAGTTGCTGCTGCTGGAGAGGCTTCTCATGGGTGAGTTGCTGCTGCTGCTGCCGCTGCCTCCCTCCGTATTTCCCTTTTGTATTAAGTTTTTCAGCAAGGCTTATAAGAGGCTTCTGAGGGGCTTTTGAGGGGCGGCTTTGTCTGCCAGCCAGTACGAGGTGCAGCTGCTTGAGAGGCTCCTCATTGGTGAGTGATCCACCTGCTCCTGAGGCTTTTTGAGTCCACTCAAAAATCTCCTCATGGGTGAGTGGGCCACCTGCTCCTGAGGCTTTTTGAGTCGACTCAAAAATCTCCTCATGGGTGAGTGGGCCACCTGCTCCTGAGGCTTTTTGAGTCGACTCAAAAATCTCCTCATGGGTGAGTGGGCCACCTGCTCCTGAGGCTTTTTGAGTCGACTCAAAAATCTCCTCATGGGTGAGTGGGCCACCTGCTCCTGAGGCTTTTTGAGTCGACTCAAAAATCTCCTCATGGGTGAGTGGGCCACCTGCTCCTGAGGCTTTTTGAGTCGACTCAAAAATCTCCTCATGGGTGAGTGGGCCACCTGCTCCTGAGGCTTTTTGAGTCGACTCAAAAATCTCCTCATGGGTGAGTGGGCCACCTGCTCCTGCGGTGATCCACCTACTCCTGAGGCTTCTTCCAGTAAAACACATGGCCACTGGAGAGGCTTCAGATGGCCTTCATCCACATGGCCTTCATTCACATGGAGAGGCTTCAGATGGCCTTCATCCACCTGGCCTTCATTCACATGGAGAGGCTTCAGATGGCCTTCATCCACATGGCCTTCATTCACATGGAGAGGCTTTGTACTGCCATGCTCCCATGTGGCTGCAGGCATGCCGTTCTGAATACTCTCTTTGGAGTGCCTTACAAGTATACTAAGCAGAAAACGCTTGTGATTCTATATCCCTTCTGCGCGGCCCTCAATGCCCTCTTTTACTGCCGTGGCATGGCGCCTAGCAGGCCTCTCGTTGTGGCCCTTTTCGAGTTGACATACAAATTTTGACTCAACGTTCCCCCCCATATATCCACATCCCCTCACGTGTGCTGCAGGCATGGCGCCTGCAGGCAGTCCACTCGTTCTTTTTCGAGTCGAGTAGACCTTTTGACTCAACGTTCCCCCCCATTTATCAATGCCCCCCCCCATACATCCATGTTCCCTCCCACCCATGCACTGCAGGCATGGCGCCCGGTAGTCCGCTCATTGTGGTGCGTCTGCCAGCCTTTGGCACCGATTCTGACGAGTACCAGCGCTTCCCATGGGTCAAGGTGAATACACGCACATGCTATTGTGTTGCTGCTCGCTGAGAACATGTCCCAAGACCGGTTATCTTAAACCTCGTCCTCGATCGCGTTGACTTTTGAGTCAACTCGAAAGTCAACTCTGTTGAGTACCAGCACTTCCCATGGGTCAAGGTAAACACAAGCGTCTTGTTGCAGCTGTTTTTCTCTTTCTTTCTTTCTTTCTTCTTCTCCTTCTCAGAGCACAGCTCTCTTTTTGGTGCGCCTGCCGGCCTTTGGCACCGATTCAGATGAATACCAGTATGCCAGTAGGTAGTTGTCTTGAACCTCCTCTCGATCATTCCTGTGAGCTTTATATTTGAGGCGCCTCGAAAAAAAGAAACGTCCTCTTGATCATGGCTGTGAGATTCATTGAGAAGCTCAACCTTAGATATCAGAGGTTGCTGTGGGTCACGGTAAATGTGGACAGCATGCCAGTAGTTGTCTTAAAACCTCCTCTCGATCATACCTGTGAGCATACCTGTGAGCATGCCTGTGAGCTTTATTGAGAAGCTCAAGTCTCGCATTTCCTCCCGCTCCCATTTGATTGACAGTTTGCAAAGCACATCCCTATTCACCCCCTTTTCTCCCTTCTCCCCCCTTTTTTCCCTTTCTCCTCAATTGTCCCCCCTTCTTTCCCCCTTTACCCCTTCTCATCCCTTCACCCCCTTTTCCCTCTTTCTCCCCCATTTCCCCCTGTCTCCGCCCTCCTCCCCGTTTCTCCCCCTTGTCCCCCCATCTCCCCCTTTTCCCCACATCTCCCCCCTTCTCCCCGCTTCTCCCCGTTTCTCCCCCCTCTCCCCTCTTCTCCCCCCTTCTCCCCTTCTCCCCTTCTCCCCTTCTCCCCTTCTCCCCTTCTCCCCTTCTCCCCTTCTCCCCTTCCCCCCTTCTCCCCTTCTCCCCGTCTCCCCTTCTCCCCTTCTCCCGTTCTCCCCGTCTCCACTACTCCCCCCTTGCCCGCATCTCCCCCCTTGCCCGCGTCTCCACTACTCCCCCCGTGCGCGCATCTCCCCCCGTGCGCGCATCTCCCCCCGTGCGCGCATCTCCCCCCGTGCGCGCATCTCCCCCCGTGCGCGCATCTCCCCCCGTGCGCGCATCTCCCCCCGTGCGCGCATCTCCCCCCGTGCGCGCATCTCCCCCCGTGCGCGCATCTCCCCCCGTGCGCGCATCTCCCCCCATGCGCGCATCTCCCCCCGTGCGCGCATGTGGGCAGACATTTCACGAGGCCGAGAGGGACATGGAGGGTGGCACGAACACCAACGGCATTGCGAGAGCGCTTGCAGAGAAGCACATATGCGCACGGGCGAAGCATTTCATTGGGACTCCTTACTCGTCCTATTCCAAAGACATCTTTCGCATGCGAGAGGTGCATGGCTTCGCGTCTTCCGCTGATGCTTACATTGAAGCATTTTAAAGACGCAATTTTGATAATGAGCTGATGCCATGCATTGGTGCTTGGTCGAGTAGAATAAGACCTAGAGACTATGCTAGAGACTTAGCTACCAGGGAGCTACCGTAGACGAGCATTGGTGGGAAAAGAAGTCAAGAGGAAGCAAGCGAGAACACCGTTGTGAACAACGGTAACCTGTAGACAGTACTTAGGCTAGGACAACTAAAACTATTCCAGCTTGCTTGTTTGTTTTCGTGCTTAGTAAGGAATTGCTATTGGTGAGCAAACGATGCTCCTTCCTATAGAGGCCAACCTGAGCAATCTGAGTGTAGTGAGAAATGCAAGAGTAATCCAGACTGCCAATTTGTAATCGTTTTCATTCCCAAAATGAGGAACTAACAAGCCCGATTTACATAAATAGGAAGGGAATAGTCGCTTTCTATACGTATAGTATAGAGCATTTTTCATGTCTTTATACGAAGAACAGAACTCCTACTACGCAACCCTTCCGAAATGAGCTGGGGGGGGGGGAGTTGCTGCCATGGTTTCAGTGGCGGGGAGGCGAGTCAGTACAAACTTCTGTTGCTGCAGCCAAGAGTTTCAGTGCGTGGGAATGCACCTGAACTCTCTCGGCTACAAATTGGACTGCCCATTTCTTCGCTGGCTGTAGTTACACATACGTATCTCATACTCCATCAAGCAAGCAGCCCAGACATCGCGGTAGTACCATTACCTCGATAACCTGCGCCTCGTGGTCCGGATTTTGCACTCGTGCGAGCTGCGACGGCAAATCGCCAAGGCGGAAAATGTTGCCAAAATTCCAGCTAGTAGCTGGTGGCTACAGGCGGAGTGACAACCACAAACGGCGGTTACTACGGGTCCCCTACAGTCGTCGGTTCAGCTAGTACGGTACTACAAGAGGGCGCTAGTTCAGAACTTTGCGGAGGTGTGATGCGGCCGTTCCAGGTGATTCTCCGTCAACTCTCCTCCCCCAGCTTATTCGTCCTCAGGAACTTCATCGCGGAAAAGGAAGAAGCACATTTCAGGGGTCCGTAGGTTTTTCTACGAAAAAGCATACAAAAAGTCCCATACAGTACACAAAAGACCCCAAACCACATGTGACGCAAATGTCACATTTTGGGTTTTCCCCTTATACACTTTTCGGCCTTTGGATGCTCGCACTGCACATTTCATGCAATGTGTCGCACGTTTTCGACGGACCGCACATTTGGGATTCCCGCGCCAATGTAAATTCCCCGCGCCGCACATTTTTCGCCATTCAACGACCACTGCTAATTGGGCTCGTCTGTTGTGTGTTTACGCAATTAGGAATGTCAACGTAAGATACACTACCGTCTTGCTCAACCCACATATACTGCATACAATACTCTTCAATAGTGTTGTATGGTCACCATCACGTGATTTTGGTCATCGCCCTTTCACACATAATCAGCGTCAATTGCGTGTCACACGGTGCGACAAGCCACTAAACTGTCCCGTGAACCCAGCGATTCAAACCCACTCATGTTCACTCGGTCAGCAGGAACCTGTTGAGCAGCATGACGCGCTTGTCCACATAAGTCATGCAAATGTGCACCACCCTCTGGATGCACTCTACGTCCACCACAGCATACCTTGTCCTCACACGGCCGGGTGTCAACTGCAAGCAAGTTGTCATCGGGCACGTGCCCTCCGCCTCGTAGTACTTCACGTACACGTGCCTCCCCATCTCTCCATCCACCCCCTTTGTCCTGAAGATGCATAGGCAGCTTGCGTACCACTCTCCCTCGTCAGGGTTAAGCACGGCCACGTCTGAAAACCACTTCTCTGATGGGCTTGCCTTCACAAACGTACCCTTCGGCACAAGCTCCCCGCCTCTTGTTCGGGGTATCGCCACAGCGGTGTGCACCTGCGCATGACGGTCAACATGAGGGCAATTCTGGTGACTGTACCCACAAGTACCAGGACTCTAGCACGAGCGGCCCACGATAGTGGTCCACATGCCACACGAAAATGCATAAAAGCCGGCCTCACCGCGATGGATGGCGACGGGAGGCCTGCCGCCCTCATGCAGCCTGCGAGTGCGTCCATGTCGGACCCATGTGCCTCGCGATACACCCACATAACCGCGTCCAGGTCCTCGTCCACATTGGCCGGACGTGATTTCTTCGTCAGGACGGGTTTGCGCGTCCGTACAGCCTGTGTGCACACGGATTGTGATACAGTCGCTTAATGATTCCATGAGGTTACCGCACTCCGACACAATACGTCATGCTACATGGTGTCGCAGACTGCATGCCGTGTACTGCAACTACCTCGCGCAGCGCCGTCACATACTGCCTGTTGCCGCCTGCGTCCGCGGACACCTCCCGCGCTATCTCGCGCTGCACCTCCTCCTCGATAATGCGGCGTGGAATGTCCTGCCAGTTGCTTCCTCGCACCGGCACCTTCACTGTGCCCTTGTGTGTGTGCTCCCATAGGTTCGTGGATGTCTCGTGCGTCAACCCACGCATAGGGATGCCGGCAATCAGGTGCACAATCTGGTGCACCTTCGGGATGTTCCAGCCTTGCCGCCATCATTCTGCACAGCGACACGTGAGGCGGATATAAGTCCGGATGTAATGGCACATCACATTTCAGCACATGTCGTTGCACACCACTCCCCATACTACACCTACACATTCCTACAATTTGAAAGTTTAGTGCACACCAGGGTCTGCACGAATCACGGAACTTACGTCACTGCCATTGCTCTGACGTCGTCCAGGGTGTCGTCCGTGTGCTTTGTCACGCCGACAAGGGCCTTGTAGAAGCCGGCGTATGCCACAAACGCCGCCACCTCCCGTTGCCGTTTCTCCTTCTCCGCTGGTTTGCTCCTTGCCATACTGTCGGCAATCAGCAAGGGCATCACCTGCATCATCCCCCTGTGCTCGAAGGCTGCGTAGTTCGCCCCACTGCTAAACCATGTGGCCCCTCCTGGTATGCGCACCACACTTGCGCGCGTGTCCTTCTTTTGCTCCTTGCGGCGCCTGCCAACCCACCCATCTACGGTCAGCCACGTGCATTGCATGTTCATCACGCGGCAGCTAGAAATATCCGGATGAGAGCGTACACACCTCTCAAATTCCCTTCGCTCTGGCTTGCTCTTCCCCACCATGAAGCACTTGCCCATGCATGGGAGCATGCCTGCGTCCAGGACGTGAAGAAGGTCCGCGGCGCATGTGAGGAACACGTTGCCCCATGTTGTCTCTGCGAAGTTCCACCTCTCCAAGTAACACTGCTGCTCATGTACATTGACACACTAAGATGGGCATTGACACACGCTGAAGTCCAGGGTTTCTTAGTGTGGTACTCGGTTCTCACCTGCACCGAGTGCGTCGACCATTGCTTTTTGATTTTCTCGGCCGCCTTAGAGTCCGGGGCCAAGTGGATTGCGGCCACTACTCGTCTATGGAGCTCTACAGTCCGCACCACTGACTCCTGCGTAATGTCGGACAGATGTGTTTCCTTGGTGTAGCACGACGAACACGGCCGGTGCGATCCTTGCTGCATCGTTGCTGTGGATCTTGACGACTCTGGGTAGTCACCAAGCTGACCGAAAAGACATGGAAACGCCTTGACCACCTTTCCCGTAGCATCGGTGACGTAGAACCATCGAAGCTCTGCACTGCACATGTCGCCACACCAAATGTCATTTACGTGTCTCATCCATCATACTATGCTTGTAACATACACCGCTCCCCTTACCCTCGGTGTGCCCTGAGTAATGGCTCAAAAATCACTTCCATGCACGCCTGGAATACTCGTGTCTTCTCTGTTGACGACGCCCACTCTGGCGGGAATGGCAGCACTCCCGCCATAAGGTGTCCCGGCTCCTACCAGCGTAGCGCTTCCGGGATGTTGTATAGACTGATGAGTACCGGCCACGCAGCAAGCCTGCCGTTCCTGGATGCGTGCGTGCTGTCGCTGTACACGATCACCCCCAGCACAATGCAGTCTTCGTCTGGCATGCTGGCCTGTGCACGTTGAAAGACCGGTATTAGGACTAGCATAAATTGATCCGGGCGTTATCTTCTACAATGGCCATACACCTCACCTGCGCTTCGTGGCACCACTTCCCAGTGTCCGGCGTGCTGGAATGACGTACGTCCTTGGTGTCCTCCTCGTCCGTGCGCGGTTTGGTGACAAACCCCGCGACGTGCTGAAATGCCCGTAACAACTTCTTCACCAGCTGCCAAACACACTCCCGCTAATTGTTAAGGGATGAGTATAACAAGCAGTTAATCTATACATCGTCATTCCATGTATGCGGAGTGACTCTGGTTTTTTCTCACCAGCTCCGTGTCCCGGTAGTGCAACAGCAGCGTGCACATCCTCCCTCTTGGTCCGTAGCACTTGACGCCCTTCGTCTTCCATGGCACCTGGTCAACTGGTGCCCTTTCGCGCCCAAACCGTCTAACATCCACGAAATTGAGCCACCTCCGCACGTCCCTCAAAGAGAACTTAGGGTTCTGGAAAATGCAGAGCAGTCTATTCACCTCTCGTCGCGACAGATCGGCTTCGCGGAAGAAGATGTACAGCTCTATGAGAGTATTGAAGCCGTCGTCTATATGTGACATAACACTCTCCTCCCCATCGCTCTCCTCAGCGGGATCTATGGGATCGTCTGGTTCATCGACAACTGCCGCAGGGTCCACTTCTCCGCCCGACGCCGAAGCGCCTCCAATGTTGTTTGTATAACGCACGGGTGTTTGGGGCCTGGCTCCGCGTCTGGCGCGGAGCGCGTCCCGATACGCCTCCACCAGCCGCTGGGCACGGGAGTGTTGAATCTTGCGCCTGCATTTAATATTGTTCGACACATGCGACTGGAGTGTGTTGTCGTCAACATGCTCCAGTCCGCACGCCTCGCAGACGTTGCCCAGCATTGCTAGAGCTTGTGCTAACCCTAACTTCTGCCTACCGATAAGGCTGTCCGTCCATCCGAAGGCACAATATGTGCCTGAATGTTTGCAACTGTTGCAGGT